TGATCGCCTCTCTGCTGCCTCTGCTATCCTGGCCTTGAAAGGCAGGTCTCACCACCCGCTTTCCTTAGCTCCAAGGACAGTGCAAGCACGTCTCAGGCCTTGTCAACACTAGTGAACGGCACTGGGGCCATGTGGTTTTACCTAGCCTTAAGGTCACAGACAGCACAGCCATAGAGCAGCCTGCAGGCTGGTTAGATGGTAGTGTGTGTACCTGTCCTTCTGATGGACCTGTGATCTTCCCTTTAAGGGGAAGGAGGGAGGAGTGGGACAGCTGTCCCAGAAAAGGACATCCTGTAAAATAGGGATGAGTACTTGAAATTCATTCTCTTGCCTCTCCAGTGGAAAGGGGAGCATCTGCAATTAACATTCACAGAGCAGCTTGGGATTCTGAAGCAAAAGGCAATAATGGTTCTGTGTAGAATGTCAAGATTGATTTTTCTTTCCACCTGACTTGTAGATGCCAACCTGCCTCGATAAAATAGAGGGATTCAGAAGGTTCATCTCACTTTATTGGGGCATATTATTAGATGAGCTTCCTGCCCATCGAAACCTCTTTCTTCTTCCTTTACACCTGTCACAGAGTGACGCTGAAGGCCGTTCCCTTGTGCTGGCATCTCTAGACTCCTACTCACACTCTTGATTATCCAGGAGGTAGATAATTTGGCTGTTTTCTCCTCCATTTTTTTTAGAGAAAGATGTTGCTGAATGCAAAATGCTAACACCAGCCCTCCTTTGCCTCCTGGTGCCAGTTGCTTCTGAAGTCACTGAATATAACATCAAAGTGCAGAAAGCAGCACCTGAGAATCCAAACCACTGAATTGTGAGGCCCCACCCAGCAGTACCACCTTGGAGTCCAGACTGCAGGAGGGGCGGGCAGGAGGGCAGAAAAGCCCTGGCCAGGAGCATGCTCATTGCTGCCAGTGTTGAGGCTGTAGGGCAGCTTGGCCCAGGCCGCACCCCAGGCAGGAGGCAGCCTTTTCTGAATGGAGGAAGTGCCTTGGTGACAAAGGCAGGGTGACATGGTGCTCTCTCGCTGAAGCTTTAATGTGAGCTGTATCTGATTGCTCTGGAACCGGGCCGCTCAGGGACGGCTGCTCAGAAGGGCTGCATGGTCTAATCCCTGGCTGCCCCGCCCAGGCGGCCCTGCCCCTTCCTGTTAGCATATCACTGGAGACCTCTGAAAGGTTAGTGCTTGGCAACAGGGTCACTGGTGTTTTGACTGTTATCCATCCCAAGGGCTGGCTGGTGGGAATGACTGGCCCCATCGCTCCCTAGATCATTGTGTTTCTGCTGTTGCACCGGCATTTGACGATTTACGGGACAACAGAAATGAGATGGAACTTTGCTTTCGTCTGGCCTAGAGACAGGAGCAAGTGAGGGAGCCCGCACAGAGTGGCCTCAGTTCTGGGGACAATCAGATACAATTTTGTTCCCATTTGCTGAGAATTCATTTATGAAGAGAAAAATAAGAGCTGATTTGAGCTCCACTGTTAGCCTCACTTCCCTCATCTGTTTTAGCCAGATATCCACAGCTATGTTTTTATGACATTTTCAGCAAAATGAAAAGACAGAAATGTTCTTTTTGGGCTGGTTCTTTATAATCAAAATGAGTAGATGTCTTTTAGGTTGAATACTTAGAACCCCATAATTGAATAGAATGTGCTGACCCTAAGGATAAGTTACCATGCCTTTGAACACCTTCCCGACATTATTAGAGGAGGGAGAGGGTAAATATAAGGTTACTGGATTCTGCTGCTAAACTGAACTTGGAAATGAGGTTTCATTGATTTAATATTTCCTCTATTAAGACTCCCAAGACAATGTCCCTGTGGCCCTAGCAAAGTGCAATGGTGGAGCGCTATTCCTCATGAGATTCTGGGCCATGGTTGTTCTTTGAAGGGTTGACAGTCATGGATGGCCCTTTGGCCGGCTGGCATCTCCACGTGCTGGCACAGAAGGGTCACAGGCCCAGGCCCACAGGCAGAGCTGCTGCCTTCAGAGTCTGCTTCCTCCTGAGGAGGCTGCAGCCATGCCCCCTACGGTCAGAAGTGACCTCCGGCAGTAAGTGACCTTTTCTGAGTGGTCAGCTTGAAGGGAAGGGTGTTCAGAGATAGCTGAGCGTGGCAGAAAGAGCAGTGAGTAGGAGTGGTAGATCATTCTACCCTCAAGCCTGTCCCGCTCAGGAACTTTCCTGCACTCTTCCAGAGGTGGGCCTACTCTGCCTCTGGGTGAAACCCATGGGCAGCGGGAGCCCACTAACTGCCAGTGCCCATTGTGGGAAGGCTGAGACTAGTGCGTGTGCCCCACCAGCCTTCCTGGAGCCTCTGTCCTCAGCCTTTTCTTCTCCTGGGTGCCTGCCACTGCCCCCAGCCTCCTAGCATGCCTCTCACATCCCCAGGTAGCTTTACTCTGCCTTATAGGCCCGGTATGCTACTTCCTGGCTTTGCAGCTTAAATCAAATGAACCTCTCTTTCCATGTGTAGGGAACAGCTGTGAGGATGGCTCAGATAGTCTCTGGGGCCAATTGGCTCTTAACCAGGGCTTTGAACTGGTGGTTCGTTTTGGTTCAAACCCATGCCAAGAATTTGCATTTCCACCCCAGATATACTGAACCAGAATCTACATTTTAACAAGATCCCCAGATGATTCTTATGTATAATAAATTTGGAGAATCACTGCTCTGCTAGTGGTTCTCAGAATTGGTCCCTAACCAGCAGCATCAACATCAAACTTGTTAGAAATACAAATTCTGAGCAGAGGTTAGAACCAAAATGAACTGGTTTGAAGTCCTGCTCTTAACAGCCTCTGTGGCCTCCCGTTCGCCCCACCACCACCTTGCACTTTTCTCGTCTTGTAGGCAGATACCAAATACTGCCTCTGTACCTCCCAGACCATCCCATCTGAGGACTTTTGCTTTTTCAAGGCAGTCATAAGTCTTTTGTTTATGGAAAAGTGGATGAAAAAGTTAGGGATATATCCTCTGGTAAAAAATGAGGCATGGTTAAAACAGTGGAGCCTTTTTATGCATACTAAAGGCTGTTCAACAAACATTTTCAGCAATAGCTATATTTTGGAGTACCTATGTTGTCATAGCTTATAAGTACACCTTTTGCTTGGATGTGTGAGTCCTAGTATGTTCTGTAAAAAGCAGTGTCACATCTTCATAGTTACATCCTGTAAAATAAGTATGTTGTTATTGTTGTTTTGCCATCAAGTTGATTCCAACTCATGGCAACCCTATGTGTGTAGAGTACAACTGTCCCATAGGGCTTTTTAAGGCTGTGACCTTTCAGAAGCAGATTGCCAGGCCTGTCTTGTGAGGTGCCTTTGAGTGGGTTTGAACTGCTAACCTTTCAACTAGTAGTCAAGCACTTAACTGTTTGTGCCACCCAGGAAATCCAAAATAAGTATACTTCCAGCATACACGGAGGTCATCTATTTTATTATTCAAGTATCAGTGGAAGTGTGAGTTATAATGGTGGTGCTAACCCTGTCATGAATTGTACAGTTAGGATGGGGAAATTTAGAATTTATCAAAGATCTCAACTTCAGATCTGAACTCCAGTTTTGCTAGGAAGTGGGCAGTGTCATGCAAATGTCCAGGCTTTAGAGACAGACAGACAGACCTGTGATCAATTATTGGTGCCACCAATTCGACTGTGATCTCGGCCAAGTGACCCAGCCTTTCTGAGCCTCCATTTTCTTCTTTTTAAGTGTAGGGGATCGTTTTGTGGAGTCAGTAATGTATGTGAAGCACCCAGCACTGTGTGCTTGGTGGTGGCTCATTAAGTGCTTCCCCTTTCCCTGCCCATCATCCAGAATGTGTTTTGTAACTACTGAAGCTGATTTTTAATAATGATGACAGCAGATACCTATTGAGCATGCATCATGGGCCAGGCTGTATTCAAGTGCTGTACACCCACTCCTCACTTATCGACATGGTTAGGTTCCAAAGACCAGGTCGTTATTTGAAAATCGGCATTATGCGAAAAGGGAAGATGACCACATCAGATCACAAAATGGAGGACGACTACATCATTACATAGCTGCCAAATTACAACATTACATAACTGCTAAATTACATCATTATATAACTGCCAAATTACATCATTATATAACTGCCAAACCACTGAGAATCATAGCCCAGCCAAGTTGACACATAACCATCACAGGCAGCATTACTCTTGCCTCACACCATTGCGTTCATTATTGCCAGATATGTCATTAATGCACAAAATAATTGGTTAGTAGGTTTTTTACTGTTGTTGTAAATGTCAAATGTCAGATAATGAGATAGTTGATAAGTGAGGAGTAAGTGTATATGTTTACGAACTCATCAGTCTTCAGAACAGCCCTATGCAGTCAGTACTGCAATTGTCACTAGTTTACAAAAACCAAGGCACTCAAGTAACTTACCCAAACTCACACAGCTAGTAGGTGCTCAGGGCTTCGAACCAATTTGTTCCAGTTTGAATCATGCTGAGAATTTGCATTTCTAACAAGTTCCCTGCTGAGAATTTGCATTTCCACTTCAGATATACTTAATCAGAATCTGCATTTTAACAAGATCCCCAGGTGATTCTGATGTATAACTTCCTGGGAACTTGTTAGAAATGCAAATTCTCAGCAGAGGTTCCAACCAGAATGATCCACTTCGAAACCCTGTAGGTTCTGGAGCATGTATTTAACCCAGGTAGTTTGGCCCCAGAGTCTGTGAGCTCTTAAACAACAGCTTCAGGTTGGAGTGATTTTTGATGGCTTAGGCCTGTCATAAGCTTTTCAGCCCGGAGTTTGGTAAGTGAATGACAGTGTTATCACACTGGGCCTCAGGCCTCGGTCTCTCTCTGCATGTTCTGTTGTGAAAGCAGCACCCCAGAATGGTTCTGTTGGCTCAGGCCATCTGCTTACAGAAGAATGTGGTGGTTCTGGCCTCTTCCTGCTTCCTGCCAGGGCCCTTATTCCAGGGGAATTGTAAACTAGTTTTCTCTCTGATTTCACAGAAAAGGCAACAGATGGCTCCCTGCAAAGCGAGGACTGGACGTTGAACATGGAGATCTGCGACATTATCAACGAGACAGAGGAAGGGTATGTGCTGCTCCCCACCTCCTCCTCCTGCTAAGCCTCTGTCAGCTCTTTGGTATGGCTCAAAGCTGTCAGTCTTAAGGGTGTTAGGTGTTTTCTTTTTAATCTGTTCACTTTGGTATTTAATAAACTGACACTCTTAATTATCTTTCCCTTTCTGTCCCACTCTTGAATTAGATCTGTGATGACCTCTTTAATAGACCTGATTTTAGTCACATGTGGAAATGAAGTTGCTTGGTTACTCAGTCCCCAGTGATCATTAATCTGAGCAGCCAAATCATCATTTTCTTCTCCCTCTCCTCCCCAGCCTCTGCCTCCCTTCCACTCATATGGTTTGCTGGACCAGAGCCTTAGGAGTCAGGAGAGAGCCCCGCCATGTCTGTAGAGGGATGCTCAGGTGTGGGAAGACAGGGAGGAGGGAGAAGGGGACATGTATGGCATGGAGGATACAGCTACCCACAGTCGCTCCCTTGCATTCCAGCTCTGCTGCATCTGTTCTTGTTTTTCTTGTGTTTTTATTTTATTTTACCATATCGTTTTCTACATTATATCTATACTGTATTTGTACTTCTTCCAAATCGATCTGTCTTTATCCCTCTACCCACACCATAAAAACTTTACTTATCTACTGTAGCCATGTTCTCTTAAACATCTCCAGAGTGATGAGGAAACACCTTTGGCTTTGGGCAGCCCTGGATTTGCCTCTTGGTGCTGTCACTTACTAGCCTTGCCATGTACACAAATAGTTATTGCGAGACTCCCTTGTGCTGGTCCCTACTGTAAGTGCTGAAGACACAGCAGTGAACAAGACCAACAAGCCCCCTCCCCGTGGGAAGCTGATAGTTTAGAGGAGGGGACAGGCCAAGAGTTAATAATTTCCAGTAGAGTGAGTAATCAAGGAAAGACTCATTGAGAAGGTGACATTGAACAAAGACTTGAAAGAGACGAAGGCGTGAGGCATGAAGATTACATGAGGGAGGAACTTTCAAGTAGCGGGAACAGCAAGCACAGAAGTCCTGGGACACAGGGCACCTGGTGTGTTTGAGGAATAGCGAGGAGGCTAGTGGGCTGGAGCAGAGTGAGCAAGGAAGGAGGTGACAGAGCTGAGGTCGAGGCTGCGGAGACCCAGATAATGCAGGGCTCTGAGGGCATAGGAAGGACTTCGGCTTTTCCTTTGGGTGAGGGGGAATCCGTCTGAGGATTTGAGCAGAGATGTGGCATGAGCTAACCTTCGTTTTAAAAAGATCGCTCTGGCTGCTGTGTTCAGCATTGCCTGGTGGGGGCAGAGCCAGAGCAGAAGCTGGGAAACTAGTTAGGAGGTTATTACAGTAATCCAGGTGTGAGGTGATGGTGGCTTACGATGGTAGAGGAGAGAGTGAAAAATGCTTAGGTTCTAAATCTATTTACAAGGTAGAGCCAATGGGATTTGTGTTATGGGGCTGAGAAAAGAGAAGAATGAAGGATAATGCCAGGGTTTGGGGCCTGAACAGCTACAAGAATGGAGCAGCCTTTTCCTGAGATGGACAAGACCATGGGAGAGGAAGCCGGGGTGGGGAAATCAGAGGTTCAGTTAAAACATATGAAATCTGCTATGCCTGTTAAGCCTGCAGGTAGAGATGCTGACAAGATGATTGAATGTATGAGTCTGGAGTTTGTGGCATGTGGACTGCACTGGAGATACAAGTTTGGGAATCTTCAGTGAACAATGGTGTATTTTTACTCTCTAAATGTGGGTAGTCAGCTTGGTGCCTGGCACACAGATATGATTTCACAAATAGTCTTAGTTGTTGAGGACTACAGTTTTTTTGTATTTTTTTTTTTAGTATACTTTAGGTGAAGGTTTACAGGACAAATAGTTTATTAAACAGTCAGTACACGTATTGTTTTATGAGATTGGTTAACAACCCCATGACACGATTGGTTAACAACCCCATGACACGTCAACACTCTCCCTTCTCAACCTTGGAGGACTTTTTTTTTTTTTTTTGGTGGAAGTATACATAGCCAAAGATACACCATTTCAAAAGTTTCTACATGTACAATTCAGTGACATCAATTACGTTCTTCCAGTTGTGATGCTATTCTCACTTTAGATGAAAGTTTACAGAACAAAATAGTTTCTCAATAAACAGTACACATATTGCCCTACGACAATGGTTAACAACCCCACTACATGTCAATACTGGAGGACTGCATTTTTTAATAAAGGAAGGACTGGGCTCAGACTGGTCATCTTCCTTCAGATCTCCTTGGGTTCCTTTCTTCCTCCTGTCCACCTAAGACACCACTCATTTATCCAATCATCCAGACAACGTTGATTGAACACCACCAGTGTTTATCAGGCTCCAGGGTGCCAAGATCAATGCGCTAGCCTGTCCTTGGGGCTCTGTCTGAGGAGGACCAGATAAGGCTGTGCTCACCAAGGTGTGTGCCCAGTGCTGAGGAACTCCAATGGAGAAGGCAGGTGGGGATACCTTCGGGTGGGCTGGCTTCAGGCCAGGGCTTCAAGGATAGAAGGAAGAGGATGGCATGAAAAGGGCCAGCATGGTGAGGGATACAGCAGTCTGGGATGGAGAGGGAGAGAGTGTGGAGAGGAAGTGCCTGGAGTGGTCAGTGAGGTCGGGGTGGAAAGAGCTTTCTTTCTGGGCTTGTGCACAAAAGGCCAGGCTATATCCCAGAGGTGGTGTGACTACTTTGCCCCATCCTTCCCAGCCATTCTCCACACAGCAGCCAGAAGTGTCTTCTAAACACTCAAAATTCCTCAAAATGCTGCAGTGATCGCAGGCCTTCAGTGCCTCCCCAGACCTGCATGGTCAACCCGGGCCCCTTCAGCCCTGCTCTGGGCCCCTCCTTGTTCTCACCCTGCAGCCCCATTGATCTTTCTACTGCCTGAATTTCCCACTTCCCCTACCTGGTTTGAAATGCTCTACAAATCTGAGTATACAGATACAGTCACAACTCTTCTTTCTTGGTGCATTGCTCAAATAGCTATACGGCTAAGGGCAGGAAGGCCAGGAGCCCAGGAGCTTCCTCATTTCAAAGAGTCTTCCATCTGCTTGAGTTTTTCAAATTCTCCAACCACAGAAGGCGTGGTTACACCTTGCTTGTAATGTGGTCCCAGCTTCGTGTCCCTGCATGTTCAAGTGAGAATACTTTAGTGATTCCCAGGGGATTTTCTGTCCGTGCCTCAACTGTGGGGTGACTGTCAACTCTGTTCCCAAAGTGGGAGAACAAGCCCCACAAGTTCAGCTCACTGTTGGGAACCTCAACCTCACCCCCCACCTGCGTCAAGGCTTGTCCCTGCTGGTCCTTCATTCCCCGCCCCCAGTTCCCATCATTCGTGGGGTCTCATTGCCCTGACACCCTCTCCCAATTTGGACAAGTGCCCCGTTATATGATCTCTTAACATCCTGTGTTATACCGATGCTTCTCACAGTCTAAACTTGGATTTGTATGATGCTTAGTAGCGCCTCACTCACTCCTCAGCCCTGACTGGACTGTGAGCACCATGCAGGCAGGAATTCTACCTGCTTTATCACCATTTTATCCCCAGCACCTACCATAGGACATACTTGGTTGGCTCTTGATAAGTGTTTGTTAAATAATGAGTGGAGTCCCTAGGGAACTTATAGTCTGGTGAGGAATGCAGGCATGTAAACACTGTCCTGACATGCGTGACAAGTACTCTGAGAGACTGAAACTGTATATAGCTCCAGAGAGAAACTCGGTTGCTGGCAGCCAGCCAGCCTTGGTCGGTCAGTGGCAAAGGCTTCTTGGAGGAGGTGACACCCAAGTGGAGTTTTGCAGGATACAAGGGCACCCACCAGCTAAAGTGGGGGAGGCAGGGAGGAAGCTGGGTACCACAGGCTGGAGGCTAGTGTGTGCAACATGCGCATAGGAAGTGTAGTGCAGTGGGCGCGGCATGAACCTGCCGCCATTGGCCGGGGCTGGCATCCTAAGTCCAGTACTCACTTGCTCTGTGACCTTAGGTGAGTTACTTAATTTCCTTGTGCCTCAGTTTCCTTATTTATAAAAGAGGGTAATAATAGTCCCTATCTCATAGGATTGTTGTAAGGATAAAAGAGTAAATATATAGAAAGTTTCTGGCTATATGTATGTCCATACTATGTATATGGATTTGCTGTTTATCCCTTAAAGTCTTCCACGGTCCATGACTTTTGTCATAACTCTTACTTGCGGGACTCTCTGTGGTGTCCTCCTTGGGGAATGGTCTCTGTAGCTCACCACCCTGAGCCTATCTGCCATTCTCTGAGCACTTAGCAGGTGCCAGGCTGAGCTGGACTTTATCCTCTCATGCAGCCCCCAACAGTGCATTTTTAAGTGGGGAAACTGAGGCCCAGATGCTGAGTCATCTGTGAAAGGTCTCACAGCACAGTAGGAAGCAGCAGATGTAGGATGCAAGCCTGACTCCTTCACTGAAACACAGCCTGCCCTTCTTTTCATGTAGAGCTTCCTTCTGGGTGGCTGTGGTCCTGGTGGATGTAGATTTGATGCGCTACCTCAGGTCTCTCCCAGGGCTTTCCCTAATGTCCAGGGCTGGGCTCACCTTCCTGCTTATCGTCCTTCCAGCCTGAGAAGTTCTGGTGCTGAAGGCCTTGAGTGGCAGTCCCTCATGCCCTGGATTCTTTGCCATTAGCCAGGAACACTGGGTTTTAGACCCTGTCATGGACTGAATTGTGTCCCCCAAAAATATCTGTCAACTTGGCTGGGTCATGATTCCCAGTATTGTATGATTGTGTAATCTGATGTGATTTCCTTATGTGTTGTAAACTCTATCACTTTGATGAGGTTATATGTGATCTCCTTATGTGTCGTAAATTCTGTCACTGTGATGAGGTTATGCTGATGAGGTTTACAAGATTAGATAGTGTCTTGATCCAATCTCTTCTGAGATATAAAAGAGAGAAGCGAGCAGAGACACATGGGAACCTCATACCACCAAGAAAGTAGTGCCGGGAACAGAGTGTGTCCTTTGGACATGA